GCTAACTATTGCAGTACAACAACCCACAAGGCAGAACACATCATCTGTCTTCCTTCTGGCTCCAGCTGCATCCACACCTGTAGGAATCTGTCAACACAGCCCAGAAAAGGCCAAATGAATCAGAAATCCTCCAGCGAATGCCAGCCAAAATAATGAAGAGAATGGAGAGGAATCCACATGAGGTCAGACTTTGAAAGGAGACAAAACATTCCCCAGATAGGGAGAAAGGGATTAAGCCATATTATGACTTGAGTTAACTAAACCACAGGAGAACTAAACCTCAGTATTAGGATCTCTATCCCTCCATCAGTCATCTAGCATTTCCAGAGGAAGTTTGCTTTATAATGTGAAATAAGTGGCTTAAATACCTAGGAGGGGTGCAGGGTTTTGTGTCCTCATTAGTGATTTTTCTGAGTTCTGAAAAGGAGTATTCTAATAATGTGACAATGTACTGGAAATAGTATCAGGATTGCATGGGCTCTAAAGCTACATTGTGTTACTGACAGAAACTTAGGTTATTGCAACTATATCAAGATATGCGGGAACACAACCTATCAGGAACGAATTTAGATCTATATTAGAGACAGAATTGCTACATGGACTGCTGGGTTGACAAAGTAAAATCCTAAGCACAATTTCACAAAAGCCCCACCCCCAGGTTTCCATGCCGTGAAAACAGAAGAGCATTTAATTTATAGACAAGCAATTAAATCCAGAAAGAGATTTAAGGCTTCTGGAGGCGCTAACATAGCTGTTTTACTAGAAAAAATATGTGTAGAACTTAACTATTACATACTAGGGCTTTCAGTTTGTCTTATTGTATCTTATTGTATCTCTGGCTGTTGTCTCCTGGAGATCTACTCTTTTCTGAAGAGGAAATGCAGGGGCAATGAATTGGGTGCGAGGAGACTGTTGTTGGGATATAAAATAAATAGATAAATAATAAATGTACGCTTATATGTGACTTCATTATACCTGTCTTTGTTACCCAACAATTGTTTGTTCTAAGAAACTTATAGGAATAGAGTTGTCTTAAATTAAAATTTGTAAACAGGCAGAATTAGTGTTGGATGGGGAGTGTGTAGGTGCATAATTAATTTGAGATATCTTCTAGAGTTGTAAATCAAAATAGGCGAGAAGCTTAAAAATATATACATCTTTTAAAAATAAGATGAATTAAGTACTTTTAAAGTGTATGTTCCTTCCATAAATCGACTCCTTGAGGCTTCTTAAACATCCTTAAATGTGACTGTTCACTTTTCCTTTCTCCTGATAATCACAAAATTAGAAGGAGCGGGTCAGGAAGACAGAGACCAAGGCCTTTGCTGACTTCAGGCAATTCTTAAGTTTTTAGCAAACTTTTAACACATGAAGTGGGATAGAATCAATTCTCATTATTAGCCAGACGACTCCACCCCTTGTTTTACACTACACATATTTTCTCACCTTACTTCCCCTCTAACATAATATTAACAATACTCTTTTGATCCTTTTTAGTGGCCCCTTGAGATGGTACTGTGGTCTAAGTGAGACCATGCTGCCATGGGAAGGCAGCTGGCATTCTTCCTGGTGGTCATTTGACAGCCCAGTTTTCCCTCAGAACAATCCTTGCACAAAATTGCCTTGTTTTAATTGTATTTCCTCCTATGTCTCTGACTTCTTCTTGGAAAAAAAAAAAACTAAAAAAAAAATTTGCTAGTCAGAGTCTCAAAATAGAAAGGGCAAAGAAAGCCAGAGCAGAAGATCAAAAAAGAAATCTATCGGGTATGACAGGGGCTGCTCCAGCATGGTGGCCCTCTAAGGCATTTGTAGCAAATGCAATTAACTAATGAGAGAAATTATTTCCTTCCCTCCACCAGGAAAAAAGCGGAATAGAATTAGAAGACTTTGATTTTTGTTATTATTGTTTGGGGAGTTTTGTTGTTGTTGATTCTTTATAAATGGAGATTCTTTATAAATAGAGATTTGTGGAAACATCTGATAAAAACAAAAACAAACCAAAAATCATTTGTCCATTATATTAAACAAGAACAACATAGATTCAAAGAGACTCAAAAGTTGACACAATTGAATTCACAGTGACTGTAGGCAAAAACAGCTTTAAAAATAGTGTTTCAGTTTGTTTCAAGATGTCTCAAGATCCAGTAGTAAGCTTAAGCATAGATTATGGTGAAACAGGAAAAAATAAAATTTTAGGTTTTTTTGTTCCATGCATCCATTTTTATGGTTAACATTAGAATATAAGAATAAAGGTGATAAACAGGGAGCTCTGGACATGGTGAGCAACACAGACAGAAGCAAGGCAAAGGCAGATATTCAAGGAATGTACATTTCTCTAGGAAGCACATTTTTCCCTTTTCCCTATGACATAAAGTTTTCGGTTTTAGGAGTCAGCAAGTGCAGCTGATGTCTGGCTCTTAGTATACACATGTAACATTGTTCCAAATTTGCTTCACTTTACACTGCATGCAATTATAAATTCTCTTTTTCCCAAGTCTACCACTTAGATCTGCAGCCAAAGCATTTCTTTCCAAAGGAGAAATTAAAGCCAGGCAAGACAAAGAATTTGCTGATACATATATATCACTCCAAGAATACTCTTTACTAAGTCTCCACACACAATTTAATTACTTCCCTACTGTAAAAACATTTCCCATCTGCATCTAGTCTAATCATTACTAACCCAAAATAAACACCCAATAAAGCAAGCTAAATACATGAATGACATTTGCTTTAGGCTCTAAGTAGGGCAAGCATTTTGTGAGGCAGCGTTTCCCTAGTGCACATTTTATGTTGATACATTGTTCCACATGGAGTTCAATTTTCTTAGATTTCTTCAGAACACTATGAATAAATCTTAATGCTCTAAAATTTAAGCTGGAAAGAGCAGGCTTTGAAAGTAGTTGTGCTCTCTCTCTCTGCTTGTGTGTATGTGTGTGTGTGTATGTGTGTATGTGTGTGTGTGTGAGAGAGAGAGAGATTGCTGTATTAACTAGGTGCCAATTCAGCCATTCCCTAGACCTAAAACTTCAAGCAAATATGATGACCACTGGCGTCATCAGGGTAGACATCAGTCAGGAGAAATACCAGCCTTGCCTAGAATGTGTGTCACCTCTGAGTTGAAAATGTCTCTAGGCTGTCCTGAAGACCCTTATATCATGGGTTTTACTAAGATTTGTTTCTTTTATTTGTTTTCAGTTGCTTAAAGCTTTAGAGTTCATAGAAACTGATTGCCCTATTTATCCCTTTTATAGATAATTTTTAAAAACAGCTAACTCATAGCAAACAATTGTGCATTCTAAAGAACCCAAGCACTTTTTAAATTTGAAGAGCTAAGTGCTATTAAATAATAGGACATGTTTTAAACAATTAAAAATAGTCATTGTTCATCTTAAAAACAAAATTATTCCTTTTGTGCTTTATTATTTATTGTTTTTGTAATGCTGGGCTCTCACCTAGAGCCACAGCCCGTTAGGGAAGTCTTCTGTCGATTCTAGTACTCAGATCATTAAGATTTTCATTTGTCTGTTTCTTTTCTAACTCAGTGATGCCATTCATAAGGAAGAGTAAATTTTTTGCTATAGCTTTTTTATTACTTAAAATGCACCACTTAGGTCAAAAGATTCTGAATAGAATTAGGTATAAAATATTTGACGTGAAATAGTTATATTGCTCTTTTCAAACTTGCTCCCTCCCATACTTTGCTTACAAAAGTGACCTAATCACATATAATTCTTGAAAAATAAATCATAAGTATGTTAGATAGATGCAGTGGAACTATTAGGAAGAACCCCAGGATCGGGGTCTCGAGATTTATCTCCTCTCCACACATCCTAGATTACTATTGTAGGCAAAGATTTGATGATTTGCCCACCTTGTAAGGCCTTGATACACACACACACACACAAAAATGTTCAATCTTATTTTGACTACTAATTTTAAAAACAGAAGACCAGATGCCAAGTAATTCTGTATCATAACATATGTCCATAAATTAGCGAAAGAACAGTACATACAATCATTTATTATGTAGAAGAATCAATTACAGGAACATCATACCATACAAGAATGACTTGAACAGTAAGTAGATGGTCCATGTCATATATTGACTCTTCAATAGGAAAGCATGGCTGCCTTAGTGGTTTAATGAGCTCTGTATTGTTTCTGTATACTGAGAAAAAAAATCACTACACCCACTCTATGCAGAAAAAAAAAAAAAGGTCATAGTACACTAGTATATATGCATAATAAACACCATCTTAATGACACAGAGTAAGTCATATCATTAATGTGTCAAGGACATGTCCTTTTATTCTCGTGGTATTACTTTTACTTGTCCTTTAAAATTGAATCCTGGATTTTCGAAACAAGTCAGTGACAATGCACAGCCCTAAAATAAATCTGTTGGGCCTATGGCCCAACCACAAACAACTAAATACTATTAAACCCCTGAATGAAGGGGTTGGCAATTTCAGGTCATCTTTTCTACCCGTTTTCCTAAACAATAAATGGAATGTGAAGTTAATTTTGAGATTTTTAACCTGTTAGTATTCTCAAAATCCAGTCACATTTCATTAGAAGTGAAAGTTTTAATAAAAAACAGATTCAATTATTCAGTAACAAGTATAATTCCAGATATAAATACATTATAAAAAAGTATATGAATAAAAAAATTAAGGTTTTCTAAATAATATCTAAGGGAAAATTTCAAAATGTTGCTAGAGAATTCCTTGTTTTATTTTATGAAATTGGCTTCAATCAATTTCTTTTAAGTTTTAATTTTCTAATTAATAATGCCTTTGTCAGATATGCATTCTCCTCTATGCATGTATGCATATATATATATATATATATATATATATATATATATATATATATATTCCTTTAAAATCCTCAGTGTTTCAAATATCCATCATATCAGTTGTAGAGTGAAACAACTTCATAGTTTCCCAAAACTGTGATTTTTTTTCTTAATGAAGTACTGACTTTTATGACTGTACCTGGAATTCCGAGGCTCTGAAACATCTGATTCTGGGCACGTTTTCTTTACCTGTAGGAGAAGAACATTAGTTATTCTCTTATGAAAATCAGTTTCCTCACCCAGGGTCCCATGCACTTTAAGTACACAGTGGCCATTGCTCTGCCCATCACCATCTCTGTAAAATAATCCCCACATTTTAAAGCAATAGTGTATAGTACTAGGTACCACATTTCATTATTGTCATGGGAACAGCTGCTAAGTGGACATGCCCAGCCTCCATTACTATGCAAAATAGACAAGGACCAGAAGTAATGGGAACAAAGAAACCAAGGGACCAAGTTCCCTGGTTAAAAACCAGGAAATCTTGCTGTTCTTGGTCCAGTGAGGATGTTTGGCATGTGGATATGGCTCTGTCTTCTCCTAAAGCACACAATAATAAACTTAGCGCTAGTGAAATTATGCCTGTGTTAATTTTCCATCATCTGAATCCTGACTATTTTATACATTCTCAGCATGTCAATTACGTTTGAACATCATTTGTAGACTTTTCACACAAGTTTGCAGTACAACACACAAATTCCAGATTAACGTTGAGGTTTATAACCCACAATTCGGATGAGGAAGGAAGAGAGCATTTTCTTCTGGAGTTTGCCATCCACTTCTGTGTAGAGGTATAGCGTCTGCCTTCTAAAGAATGGCAAAACAAAAGCAAAAAAATCTGTTGTTCTTCACATTTAATCTAAACAGATGCCTGTCTAATTTGTATCAGTGGTAGGGGTAGGGGGATGGCACCATATCATAGAAGCCAAACTGGCTTAGAGCTTGCTAAATAGCTGAGGATGACCTTGAACTTTTCATGCCCCTGCCTCTAGCAGCTAAACGCTAGGACCACAGGTGTGTGCTCATACACAGCTTCGTTATTGTGGTCTTATAAGAATGTTGTACATGCAACAGACTCTTTAGAAGTCCCTTGGTTCATATCAGGAATGGGCAACTTAAATTTCCGTGTTGCATATTATGGATGTACATATTAAAGAGGCCTTTCTGGGAAACCTACAGGATCTTGGGGTTTTAACTTCAAGTATGTAACCTGAAGGTGAAAAAAAAATCAATGTCTGTTCAATACGAAGCATGCCTACACTTGAGTGAACACTTACATTGTGAAATAAATAGCTCCCCTTGAAAAGACATTTGGATTTTAAAGGTACACTGCTGGTTTCCAGCTCACAATTTAGTTCCTTCTGCCTCTGATGAGTCAGAAGCATGCTTAAAACTCAAACACCCAAATCCCCACACTTTCAGGTATCTCTCATTTCCCTTCATTTCTCAGCCAGGTCGTATTTGTTATCTGGGAACCCAATCATTTACTCTATCAGGTCTATTGTACTCTGTTCTCCTTTCTCTATATGAAAATAACACTAGCTAGCAGAAAAATTGCCATTCTGCCCTCTTAGGTGACTTCAGCACTGGGAGGCCAAGGGGTAAAAAAACATCTTCAAAATAATTAAGGAGAGAAAATACACAGGATAAGAAAGGAAAAGGAAGGAATACTTTCCCAGTGTGACACTTGGTTCAGAACTATCCCCTGGAGCCTGGTGTCACAGTGGGTGTGTAAATAAGGACAATGACTCTCCTTTTCTGACAACCTATCAGTAGCCAAAAGATCAGCAGGGAGAGTTAGGGGCTGTGAGCTCTCTCCACATCTGTGACTGCTGACAGGGCCAGTCTTGTGCAGGCCCAACAAACATAGCTCCCTGAGGATGATATTTTTCAGCCTTTATCCCTCCCTAAATGGGTGGTTAAAAGTCGGGGGTGGGATAAGAAAAGGTGGGAGTTAGAGTAATCAGAACATGTATAAGTGCATGCAATTATCAAAGAACATACTTGATTAATAGTTATTTTCTGAAACACAATGAGTATTTAATTTAATTCCTAAAAACTAAATGTGTATTTAAGTTATTATAAAGTCTTTGATAGCTCCATTGTCCAAGAAAGATAAGAATTAAATGTAAGAACATCACGATACAGATTTGCTCTCTTGCCGATACTTTTCCCCTACCAAAACCTGTAGAGAGCTGCCAGACGAGTGCACAAAAATTACCCCGAAGAAGATGCCACTGTCCTCAAGACAGTACCTTTCGGGATGGCTGAAGAAGCCTTAAAATCCAACACTGGAGACTCATGCTCCAAACAAGAGACAGACAGCTGCTTTCTGTAACTTGTCCACAGACTTTTTGTGGCTTATAACTTATACTGATAAGAAGGAGTTTGCTTTTCTTTAGCTATTGTTAGAGTTATATTTCCACCTCATTGGTTAGTAATAGTGTGTCCAGTCTTCTCATTGTCACATGAGGGAAACATAGTCTTTCCGATGTGTCAGCACTATATAAGAACTGAGCAGATGCATTGTGGGTATGTAAGGCACAAACTAACTGCTAAAAGGAGATGAGAAAACAAGCAAATGAACTGGCCTCGGAAGTGAGCAGTAGAGGCCGTGGACAACGATGACTCGGTGCACCTAAAAGAGGGTATTTTACTAACATAGGGATTGCCAGACAAATCACGTGATAATGCTCCTAAACTAGGCAAAGAATTTAGACCTTTACCTATGGGCAGCGTGGACTGTGGGAAGTCCTAAGATATATTTGGAATGGGTGTGGCCTATAAGATAAATGGAAAGGGGACAACTGGATGCCAAAGGGCAGAAATGAGCCACCCACAATAGCAGAGGCTCTGAGTTCCATAGGACACACATGCCATTGACCTTGTCAGCACTATACCCTCAGCACTGAGTAGAAGCTTGTTCACTAAGTGAGTCAGCAGCTTAGCACTGAGGATAGTGAAGATCCAAGCTGAAATAGGAGCCGAGGGGGAAATGAAAGGACGTTCTGTACAGACATTTCTGAACAAAACTGACTGAATATTGCAGTTGACTGAAGTGTTGATGTGATCTGAAAACTGCATTTGTCCTTGGAAAACTACAGCTGTGCCAAAGTCCAAAACCTTTCTATTTCATGATGACTTCTGATTTCTCCTCATTTAATTATTCATTTATTCTCAGTTTCAGTGTCAGAATCTGTAACCTAGGGCATTCTAGGCAATTGTTCTACTGGTAAGCTATACACACCCTCTCTTATTCCTTAAATAATGGGAAAAAAGTTAATTGGAACTTCACAAACCTTAGACATTTACTAAAATGTACTATGTTTCTGTATGGTGGAATTAGACATCAAGTTCACAGTTCACTTGCTTTGGACTGATTCCTCTACTTGGACTGCACCTTCTGAATCATTATATGTTATGGAAGCGAGCACGTCATCACAGAATACACCACCTCTGTCCCTGGTAAAATTCCAACTGACTTTGAATTTGCTTTTAAACAATCATTAAACAACAGGGCTAGAAATAAGGCTGAAGTCTTATGTCTTATTCAGAGTCATAATTTAAGTGCAAATCCTGGCTTTCATAGGATATCTAAGAGTTCAAAGGCATCATGGGCTGCACATGTAGTAAGAGTCTTGCTCCAAAATCCAGCTAATTAGATAATGAATGAAAGGAAAAGGAAGATAGGTAGATAGATGAATAAATAGGCAGGTAGGTATATAGATAGATGATAGATAGGTAGATGGATGATAGATCATAGATAGAAAGATAGATGATGATAGACAAATAGATGATAGATAGATGATAATAGATAAATAGATGATAGATAGATAATAGATAGATGATAGTAGATAGATAGATGGATAAATAGATCATAGATAGATGATAGATAGGTAGATAGATAGATAGATAATAGAATAGATAGAAAGATAATAGAAGGAGAAAAGGGAGAAGAAAAGAAAATAACTGAGTTACAAATCAGTTAAACAACTTATCCAAATCCCAGCACTAACATTAACTGGCTAGGAAATAGAAGTAAATGGTAGACATCAAACCTTTCCTCTCCTATGGTACATTTTCTTTTTTTTTTTTTCTTTTCTTTTCTTTTCTTTTCTTTTATTTTTTTTTCTTTTATTTTTTTTCTGTACCCCAGCCGTGTCCCGATCCCTCATTCCCTCCCAGTCTCACATTTTCAAGTTGTTATTTTTTCAAATTATCCTTCCTTCCTTCCTTCCTTCCTTCCTTCCTTCCTTCCTTCCTTCCTTCCTTCCTCCCTCTCTTCCTCCCAGTCTTTCCTTCCTTCCTTCCTTCCTTCCTTCCTTCCTTCCTTCCTTCTTTCCTTCCTTCCATTCTTCTTTCCTTTTTTTCCTGAGGTATTGTGGAAATACAAAAAAGTGTACATATTTAATGTATACAACTTGATGGGTGTGATAAAAATATAACTTGGGATGTCATCATCATAATCTACTATTAACATATCAGTCACCTCAAAAAAATCCTCTCATCCTATTTGTGTGTTTAGAGTAAGAACACAATATAAGATCAACTTTCTTAGGAAGTGTTTAAATGTGTAGCAGACTATTGTTAGCTGTAGGTACTACGTTGTACAGCAGGTCTGAGGACTTACTCATCTTACCCAAGGAAAACTTTGCACCCTTCAGTCACAAACTGCTTGTGTTAAAATTAGTTTCATGGACCATTTTCCAAAGAACATACTTACTACTTCTTGTCACTCACAGAACTCTAAGCACATCTTTTAAATTAGGCTACTGAAATAACTGCTTTTTTTTTTTTTTTAAATCAAGGATTGGTAACATTTAAATTCAAAAAAGAAAAAATAAAGGAGTCTCAAAAATTATCTGAATACCTCTAGTATCGACCAGATCAGCACCACTACCCCATTAATTACAGTCAAGGTGTGATGTGTAAAGCAACTTACTCATTGTGGTGATTTGAATAGGCTTGGTCCCCATTGATTCATGTTTGAATCTTGTTTGAATGCTTGGCCATAGGGAGTGGCACTCTTTCTGAGGTGTGGCCTTGTTGGAGGAAGAGCAGCATAGTGGACATAGGCTTTGAGGGTTTTGTTTGTTTGTTTTTTATGACAAGCTCTGCCCACTGTGAAATCAGAGTCTCCTTCTGGTGGCCTTCAGACCAAGATATAGAAATCTCAAATTCTTCTCCAA